GGGGAGCCCTCGGCGGAGGAGGCGCTGGGCGCCGCGGGGCTGCTCCGCGAGTCCCTGCTGCCCGGTAGGTCCGCGCTCCGCGTCGCGCCGGGGCTGGGGGAGCAGCGCCCGCCCGCTTCCAGGCGCCCCAGGGTGCCCAACGCGCGTCCCTGCCCCGTTCGGCCCGTCAACATCGCAGTGTTGTGTCTGCACAACGGCCTCGTGTCTGCACAACGTGTAAGGGACCTGGGGGGGTGGTCTTAAAACTTCCTTAGTGCCCCGACTTCCCCTTGTGGATCAATTCAGTACAGGCTTTCACGGGAATTATGAACTGTGACTGCTAAATACAATTACTTGTCTCTGCACAGGTGCCTTAGCACAGTACGATAGCTGTTTAGAGTTGGTAAACAAGAGACTGCCTTACGGCCTCGCTCAAGTGGGAGTGTGTTTTCACTCAGTTCCAGAAAGGGAGCAATGCAATGTGAGTCTCAGCAGGTACAGTAACGCGTGATTTTTGTACTTAAGCCAGCCCTTTTTTGCACATAACTTCGTTTTGGATTACTTTTGAACATTTGTCTCTTGCCTTTTTTTTTTTTTTTTTTCCTATTATCTTTGAAGGAGTTAATTTGCTGACCTTGCTGTTGTTTAAAGAATAGGCGAAAGGACCACGGCTTCCCTTGTATGGTTTAGCTCTCCCAGAACTGCAGGACAATGGCTTGATTACTGGTTACGGCAGAGACTCCAATGGTGGAGAAAGGTATGTGCTTGTTAGTCACTGAAATACGTGTGTTTCTTGCAAGAAACCAAAAAACAAACAAAAATGCATAAGATTATGACAGATCTTTTAAATAGTTCATGACATGACGTGTAGACAGGCAGATGTTTTCCTCTTGTATGTAGTATTTTGTTGCTTCTTACCACCTTGAGTTAAAAGTACAGTTTTGGTTTGTGATTTATAAAAACGACGTGGCGCTTCAAGTCAAAGCTTGCCATAGAATTTAACTTGTTTTATAGATTCATTATTTGGGATTAATATAGCATGCACAGTAATGGGTCATCTCTTGTATTTTTAATTTTCAGTTTGCAATAGGCCCATCTAATTTCAGCAGCAGTGATTTTCAGGATGAAGAAGGAAGAAGAGGATTTAATTTATGCTATGGCTTTCCGTGGGGGAAAGAAACAATAGAAACATTGATAAATCTCGGTGATACTGAACTGTTACAAATGTATCCAGAGGATAGATCAAAGTTACTTGTAAGCCTTACATTAATTTCTTTACATTAAATTTTTTTTTTTGCTAAAGATGTGTGAGGTTTTTTTTTTTTTGTGATCCAGTTGCTTCATGTGTAATCACTTTTTTATTATTCTGTTGTGGTAAAAGCAGTGCAATTGGTACCCTGCAAGTCAAGTTGTCTCTGAGTGATCTTAATGCAGAAAAAATAGGAAAATAGGTAGAGAAATAATTTTTGTATGGAGTTAATTCTTTGAAATGAGAAATGAGGTAAATTGGCAAGACAGATATTGTCAGTTGCCTTTTTCAGTGAGCTGTTGTTAAGAAAAACTCTTAAGCCTGTGTGTTTCATTGCTAAGTTTCCATCAAAAAGAATCTGTAACTGTTTTATAGGTTATCCCATTCCATGCTTAGAAGTAATCTGTGTGTAGCTCTTCCTCACATATTTTATTTTCTCAGTTATTATTACACCTAAAATGCCAGTAATGTTTTAATATATAGGTCTGACTGTATTTAAAATTTGGTAAGGGTGCTTGGGGTCAATGCTTCATTACAAGACCCTCTGGGGCAGTGTTTGAGGAATCTCTTTGTGGGTTTTTCCTTCTCCTTCAGGGCCGAGATGGGAGGAAGAATGTTATTCCTCATGTTCTGTCTGTGAGTGGAAATCTGGACCGAGGAACGTTAGCGTATCTCTTTGATTCTCTACAGCTAGTTGAGAATCCATTAATGAAAAAGAAAAATTCCCACAGAAAGGTAACTTTCTGTAGAACGCATAAGGAAAAACAGGTGGAAGAGGGGTTCAGATCTAAGCGCAAAACTTAAATAAAGAAGTCACACCCCAGTTCAGTGCAGATATGTCTGTTAAAGCCCTCAGAATAGACTGAACTAGTTAACAATGAAGTGCGTTTGTTAGTTTAGAGCAGGATAATGTGTGCTGCCTTTTGGTCAGCTGTTGTGGTAAACTTAAGCAGAAATATCTCCCTTTTCTTTCACATCTCTGTTCTATTCCCTTCCCCAACAGGTGCAGACAAAACACTTTTTTTACCAGTAACAACAGGCTGGGCACATGGCCTCTGCAGTCCTCTCTACCTATATAAGCTTTTTTTTTTTGTCCTGAGATCTCCTTTCTTGTCTTAGCTTCTCTCTGATGCGCAGTTGCCTGTTGCCAGTGATGGAAGAGTTAGAAGGAACAATGTGGTTGTCGTGTGGGAGAAAGGATGATTGGGAAGGCTCCTTCCAGCAGTTTGCGGGTTGCTAGAGAAGAGTAGAAAAAGTGGGTCACAGATAGTGGTGGGTTATTTTTCTCCAAGGATGGTTATTAACCTATTTCTACCATGGTTTTCTGGCTAGGAGTTCCTAGTTTTCAAACTATTTGTTAACCAAGTAACCTCTAAGAACAGGCAGTAGACAGCACATGGAAGGTCTGGCAGGCCCTCTTGGATCTCTCTGGCCTTACCGTTAAAGATGATGCAGCTCTGCTGGCAAAGCTTCATTTTCTGTGCAGGACTCAGCTGGCACATAATAATTTCTGCCATGATGATGGAGCTGGCATGTGTGCTACTTATATCAAGTATTGATGTTTCTCCCCTGCCCCGTGAGAAAAATGATGCATGTTTAGATTTTTTTCTAGTAAAGCTGTTTTTTCATTCAGTTAAAAATTTCAAATAGCTTTTTAAATGTTGTGTGGTTCTGTTAAGTGCATTCAGTGTAAATATCTAATAATCTCTCGCTTTTTGTAATGTTAGGTACTCAAGCTTCATCCTTGTTTAGCACCTATTAAAGTAGCCTTGGATGTAGGAAAAGGTCCAACACCAGAGCTGAGACAGGTATGTTAGGAAAAAGTATTTTAATTATGAGCATTGACTTTCCATGTTGTCTTCTGTTACAATTTTCACAATGTTTACATGGGGGAAAATCAAGCTGCTGTGTTGTGGTTCTTGGAGAGTCTCATGTTTGCCTTGGTTCAGTAGTACTTCCACTGTGTAGCTTGTGAGTTGTGGCTCAAGAGGTACACCATGGAAAGTGGGAAACACATCCTCTGTACTCCTTTTATTATTAATAATAAAATTGATGCTAATTTTGTGCAAAGCGAAGGAAAGTAAATAATCCCTGTTGGCTTCTTAGTCTTACATAATTAACATAATGTGAGCTAAATCTTCAGAAGGTTTCTTTATTGTTTTTGTTCAAGCTAATTATATTTTAAGAAATATGCACAGGAGGGAGAGAAGGGAGATCTAGCTGCCAAGTTGCTTTCCACTTTGAGCTTGTTTTAGCCAGTAAATTAATACCAGCTAGGAATGCTAATATTGCACATGCTACAGTCTGAATGATTTCTTTGTTTAGGATTTCAAACCCTCAAAGACTATTTCTTTTGTTTTTAAATAAACACAGGTTTGTCAAGGATTATTCAATGAACTGTCAGAAAACAGGATTTCTGTATGGCCGGGATATCTTGAAACCATGCAGATCTCTCTGGAACAGCTTTATACAAAGTAAGGAAAAAAGTGTTTTGTAAATTAAATTATGGAAATGAAAAATGAGATTCTGTGAACTAGTGAAAATAAACCAGTTCTTATGTACAGTAGCCAAATGACTACAGGTATGTGTTCAGAACCATACATTTAAACTTGATTATTTTGTTATGAAGAGCAATGCCAGGCAGTTCACTTAGAAATTAAATGAACTGTGCATCTTTCATACTATTCCATTGCAGTTGCTCTTGAACTGTAAAATGGCTATTGGAGATTTTCCTGTGAAAATAAACCTCAAAACTTTAAAGTTCTAAAGGTTTCTAAAGTAAAGTTAAAGATGAGTCATAAACTTGAAGAATCGATTTATTTTCCACTTTTTATCTGGGCTGGCTTCTGTGTTTCATTCTTTAGTACTATTTCATGCATACCATATTTGGTCTTGATCAGGAAGTTTTTCAAGCCTGGAATGACTACCAGTGGTATATTTGAAGGAGTTGTTTCTGCAGATAGATAATATTCCAGTAAGTGATCCCGTGAACTTTCAGACTCATCAGGAATTTTTTTTTTTTTCCCTATGGAAAACATATATAAATAATTGTTCATGTAGAGTAGCTTCAAAACCTGGTTATTAAAAAACAGGAAAAAAAATCTGCTTCTACAAAAATATACATATAAGTCCTTAGATAGAATTCTCTGTATGTTCTGTAGTGACCCAATAACTTGAAGAATAATGTAATCAGGAAAGAAAGGAATGGCAACAAGAAAATGTTATATTCACACTTGATTTAGTATAATGTAACAAGAGGAAATATTTACAGCATATGGTCACATGTACAAATCTTATCTTGATTTTTTTTTTCTTACACCAAAAGCAGTAACAGGTGTGCTGATATCTTCTCAGGTACGATGAGATGAGCGTTCTCTTCACCGTGTTGATAACTGATGCTACTCTGGAGAGTGGAGTAGTCCAGCTAAGAAGCAGAGACACTACGATGAAGGAAATGATGCACATTTCTAGGCTGAAGGACTTTTTGACTAAGTATGTAATATCAGCGAAAAACATATGAACTTAACTTGTTCTAATAAAATTATTTTTTAAAAAAAAAATTCTATGCCTGAATTGACTTCTGGGATGTCACTGGTCTCCCTGAAAATAGTGCCGCTAAAGCTTGTTGGTACAGTTCTATCAAATCTGGACCATTTAGGTTTCTAGATTGCCCTGGAAAGAGGGAAGAAGTATGTTTGTCCATTGTTAGCAGGGTTTAACTGTATTCTTCGTACCTTCTGTATCATTATTTTGTTACAAACATGCAACTTAAACTTAACTTAAAGAAAAACTTTCTTTCAGTGCAGCTCAGCGGTGCTCAGAACATCTGAGGAGTGAAAGATTCTACAAAATATGTAATTAATCACAAGTGAGATCCTACCTTGTACTACGTCTTTTATGGTGTCATTTGAATAGATGGTAGCAGAGATCCTCCTGTCTGAAAACCAGAATAACATAATCCATCTTTTAATAAGGATACATATGAGCTTAATATGACATTAGCAGCTTGGTCACCAATAACATGGCCTGCATGGTTTCAAAATTAAACTGCTGAATTTTTTTAATGATAGGTTGGTGATAGACTTTTGCTTTCCTTCGTTTTCTTCAAGTTACTTTAATTTCTCTGTGCTAGATAAGCATTTTCACTTTATAACTGCTACTGTCTAAAAAGATCCTCAGCAAATTCCCCCCAAATGTCTTTGTGCACCCCAGATATTTCACTATTTTTATTTCAGGAATTTTACCTTTTTCATCTTCTTTTCTAATGATGGTAAAGTTGGCATACTGTTCTTCAGGTTTAACATATTCTGGATTAAAGACAGTAAGCAAGAATTAAGTACAAGAAGTTATGGCCCGGTCATTTTTATCTTGGTACAAAGCACTGAGATTCGGGATATAAAATCTAAACATGCCCCTTGTAGCATGTATAGGTCTTATCAGAATTATTTTCATTCTCTTTACAGGCTGTGGTAGAGTGCGGATTGGTAACTGGAAAGAGAGGCTGCAGAGAATATTAGGCAAGCTGAGCAGAGCCACTGCAGTTCTGTCTCTTTACCACCTGAACAGGAAGGCAGACTTGTTGGGGAGAATGATTCCCTCTTGGTATTTAGAACAGGAAAGGTAATATCTTTTTTTTTTTTTGAGAATAGTGGAAGTCCTGTAGATATTTTCAAATCTTCCTTATGCATTGTGGCTTTTGTGCAATGTCTTCATTATTGCATGCTTTGCGCAATTGGTACAATGACTTAATTCAATTGCCTTGTTGATTGCTGTCTAGTGTTACTTAATTGTTTTAAGTGACTTTGAGTCTTGTCAAAGTTGAGCACAAAGGACTAATGTGTATTGTGAAGGTCCCGCATGTTGTTCAAGTTTTATTACAATTTTATTGCAAATAACCCCATATTGGACTCTTAGTAAATGCGCACTGTAGCTCTCTGGTCTTTAATTTTCTTTCCTCTGCAATGGCTCTTTCTGTCCTCAGCAGGGATTCCCAAATTCTTGTTTTATTTCTTTTCTGTTTTAAGTACTAGGAGTTTTTTTGCACGAGACTCCAGAACCCTTTATCCAGTATAGTCAAAGTTACGGTTTTGGCTGTATAGCTGACAGGTAGACTGTAAATATGCATCTTGAGGGACTTCAAAGGCCATGGTGAGCAGATATTCTGTTAGTTCACTAACATAATAAGGGTGTCTCTGTCCTTCCTTTTGTAATATCTAAAGGAATTGTCCCATACTAGCTACAAATAGTATCAAGGCATTCTTCTATCAGGCTTTAGCAAGTAATTTTTGTGGCTAAATGGAGATTAGCATAAGTTTACCAATCTCTGTGTATATGACGTAGTCTTCTGTTTCTTCTGCATTTGTTGTTGAAGTAAGGCCAGCCGAGGACCTAACAGACTTACTTCTTTCTGTAAATTATAAAAGAAACAGGCATATATGCATCCATTTCTCTGGGGAGAAATAAACAGCTCCATGATATTTGAACCTCTTAACGTTACTTTCATGATTAATACTGCTCCTTAACCAATGTCATTTTTTAATAGAATTTGTTTTCTTTATTATGGACAGTTTGAACCAATTCTTGCCAACATTTATGTGCATATTTTAGATACTGCTTTTCTTCCCATAGCCCAGACTTGCCATCTAAAACATAGCTGAGAAGTCAACATCATGTTAAGTGGCTTCCAATCTATATGTTGGTTAAGAGCAGAGTGACATCCTACAATTCCAAGAGCTTAATTCTGCTTATAACGTGTTTGCATAATAGACTCTACTGACTTAAGTTAGCACCTCTGGAAACTGAAATAGACATTAAATCACTCACTTGCTTTATATGAAGGAATAATGACAAATGGAATTGCCAGAGCAAATCCTATTGCTAACAACAGCAGGATCAGCCCAAGAGAAATGAGCAAGGGTTGAAAATTGCTTCTCTCTTCTGTCAAAAAGAACAAAAAGTATTTATGTAAAAGTTTGTTTTTTCGTATTCTAAGTATTTTCTGTAGCTTGAAATCAAACCTTTGCATTTCTTCACTTTTCAGATTAACTGTGGTTAGTAGATCCACTCAGGAAAGTGCAAACTGCACACCACTACAGCAGGAGGGAGCGTGCTGCTGCCAGTGACCTAATCACACTAATGAGATTGAAAGGCCCTCTCTTTCATAGGAACCAAACAGAAAAATGAAGCTAGGATCTCCTCCAGGTAGATCAACAGATAAAGGGTCTCTCCTAACAGTTGTCCTTGTTTATTGATGATTATAAATTCTTTGACATACCTGCTAATGTAAAGTTGAAACTGTTGCTATATTTTGTGTTATTGGGAAAGCTGTTTCCAGCTTTGCATTTATATGTTCCAAAGTCACTAGATGAATTGATAAACAGAAAAAGCATAGCTGCTTCCTTCTTCTGCATCCTTATGGGGCGAGAGATGTTCTTTCTTCCTCTGAAGAATACGTAAGTGATAGGAAGAGAACCATTTTCCGAGAGACAAGATAGTGTCACATTCTGTCCTTTGTTTGCTCGAGAAGTGAGTGAGCTTAACACTGGCTTAGAAACTGGCTCTGTAAAAAGAAACCGAAAATACTGTATCTCTGAGTACAGAATAAACGGCAAAGAAAGACATTGACATAAGCAAATGAGATGGGCCTAGGGGATGGATGGCTCACCGAGCCAGATCAGGGTAACACTGCTGACCCCTGAGGAAATAATACCAAGGGTAGTCATGAAATTTAGCTCTGTAATCAAGGCAGGCACTCAGTGCAGTGCAAAAGAGCACCTGGAGCAAACAAAACTCTAGTGGGATGTATCAGAGCGGGTGGTTCTGTGCTCCTGAAATGAAATGTGTGGTGAAGATATAAATCAAGACCTACCTATAAGGGTTAAATTGACAGGTTTGCTGTATTTTCCATTATTGGAGATTCTGTTCTCAGCTTTGCATTTGTATTCACCCACGTCACTGGCAGAGTTGATGGTCAGGTTAAACACAGCTGGGGTTGAGTCTGTCCTATTTAGTGTGGCAACCTGCTGTTTTCCTTTGAAGAGAGTGTATCTGACAGGTGGAGATCCAGAGTCTGAGTGACAGGAGAGGCTCACATTCTGGTTCATTATTACTTCCAAAGTGCCCTGAGCATGGCTGAGCTTGGGGTTGGACATCTCTAGAAAGAAGAAACTTCTGAGTGAGTTCATGGCATCTATCATTCAAATATCTTCTAGGTTATTCACAAAGTGTTGAAGACCCTGGTGTGCCTCTGTTGAAAATTGTCCTGATATTTCTTCACCTGCAGTAGCAGGCAGCACAGCTTTGTATTTTTCAATGTCAATATGTAGCATCAAACATTCAATGAAAAATGCATATCTCCATACAAATGAGAGCATATCCACACAAAGTCAACAGATATTTCGATGAACCAACAAAAAACTTTTCCATCACAACAGCAGTGATTATAGTAGAAGCACAACAGAGAAATACAAGTATTGTGGGGTGTTAATTGTAGGAGAATGTAGCTTTTTATGCTAGATAAGAAGGAATGCGGACCTTCAAGTAAAGACAGTATTTTATCTGTAGCCCAGTGTAAATGAACTGAATTAATCTTGTGTGCACAGATCTAACTTTATCCTCCCCAACTTTTGAATAGTAGAAGCAGAAACCTTGACTGTTTTTCAAAATAATTTGGTGTTCATGGGATCACGCAAATAAAACCGAGAAAAACCTGCAGCATCTTTTAATAGAAAATGGTAATAAGCCAGCCGTGATTAAGGTAAACTATAGCCAATATAGGGTTGTGCAGTAGTTTTTAATAACTCAAAATAATTTTGAATATACATAAAGTTGTGTTATTAACAAGAAGAAAGTTAATTTTGCATGAACATTTGTAAACTGTCTCATTACACAAGCAAGGGAAAAAGTTTGAATTTTGCTTGACAGTTTCGGACATTCTAGAATCCCTTCCCTCCTCTCCCTTCCCCCTTTTGTTTTTTTGAACAGTCGATGCCAAGACATATCACAAAACTGGGAAAAAAATAACCTACCTCTGGCTTCTGTGGTTGATTCCTGAATCTGCTGAGAGACTTGAGCTAAGAGAAGAGAAGAAAACCTTCAGACAAGAAGCAACGGCTGTTGTTTATAATTATTTTTAAGTATGTCCTTGGCTTACTGTAGGAAAACAGCAGAACTGTGAGAAAAAACATTTTCCTTCAAATATGAAGCCGATAGTGAAGAGGGCAGATGGTGTAGTTGCACCAGTGAGCGGTGACTCAAAAGTCCATGAGTTGAGGAAGTCCTAAATACGGAAGCAGTGCTGATTGCTACTGGTGATGTTTGGAGAGAGACTTTTGTTTTAATCCACTTATATTTAGCCCGTGGTAGTCATGTTGTAGTAGTGGGTGGAAGGAAGAGCTTTGTGCTGAGGAACTTGGGCTACAATTGTCATGTATAGTTGTTTTATAGGTGCCATCTTTAGTGCATGTGCATATCTAGGTTTCTGGAGTTGAGAAGAATTAGCAGTGCCACTAATGTTCTTTGCCCAGTACAGGACAGCAGTAGACAGACACTCTGGATACATGCAACAGGTTGCCTGAAAGCCCTGGGGCTTTAATATAGCTTCAGCAGTGACATTGTGTATATGGATAGTGCCTTTGAATATCTATAGGGCTGTATATGAGTAGCTTCTGCACAGTTAAGTGCTTTAAAACTGTGGCTGTGGTGCTTGTCTCTTACAGATCCCCCACTTTTTGCAGCTAGCAAGACAAGGTCCTACAAGAGCATCCTCTTTTCTTTTTCCTGTGTGATCTAAAGCACATGTGCGTGGGCTGTTCCTTCCCCCTCGGTTGTGATGCAGCAGCGTTGGTTTCCATGCGATGGCGGCGCTGATGTGTGGGTTTTCCAGTCACAGCAGTCAAGTGCGCGGCGGCTGCCGGCTGCCTCACGCGCTGCTCGTGAGGCGACCGGCCCACGTCACCCAGCCTGAGCGCGGGGAGACGTCCGCAGGGCTAAGCCTCCCCCCTTCCCCACCGCAAAATCTCTGCGTGACCCGATGATGCTGTTCACCCCTCCCAGTGCTTTGTTTTTCCTTAAAGTGAATCTTTTAGCTGCTACAGTGATGGGAACCTTTGTGTTTCCTCTCAAAAACTACTGCATTTCAACACACAGCAGTAAGTTCCTGAATCGAAGACTGTTGCGTGTTTGTTTTGGTGCAGGTGTTACTACATGTTTTTGCCAGAAATGAGGGAATCGTACTCATGTCTCTTTGTGGACGTGTACAGCGCAATTCAGTCCTATAAAAGGAGTAAAATTGGAGGCTCTAAAACTCAGTTTTCATGAGTTTGAAGTATTCTGATTTTGTTGAAGATGTGGCAAAATGCTTGCGTTTATTGGGCTAGATACTGTTTTACAGATTCAGATACTGTTTGTTGTAAGGTTCTGCTAAATATTTTAAATTAGATTGCAGCCTTGCATAAGGAGGTGGCTGCTGGTGTTTTTGAAGTCTTTGTTGTTGTTTTGTGTTTTAAATGGTCTTCAGATGTAGAAGCAGGCGCTTTTGCACACTCTGTGGTAGAGAAAGTTTGAAAGGGGATATCAGAGAGACCAATCATCATCTAAATCAGCAAGTGGACCTGACGTCTTTAACATGAGGAATTTCTATCCCTCTGTGCATGAATTTCCAAGGTAACACAGTAGCATAAGTCAAAACTTCAGATCCCTAGCCTGTTTAGCAAGTAATACCATAAAATTAAGAAAGAGTGGAGCCAAATAGCAAGAATTAGCTCCTGCTATGTTGAAAGAAAAAATTCAATATGAAAGCCCCAATGGTATTCTCTCCTTATCAGCTTCACAGTCACTAGAGTTATTTTTCCAGATGTAATTTTGTCATTTAGAGAATGAGAAGTTGGAAATCAGTAATTGTAGGATAAACCCTACGAGAAATGATGGTTGTAACTGTGCAAGATGAAAGTGAGAAAAACAGCATTTACTATAATTTGATTAGTGGTCGTCTTCCAGCAGATGGTGCCATTGTGAAATGTAATATTAGTCTGAAAAGCATAAGCTTTGATAATGGGATTTATTGTATGTTATAGAACTTCTCAACTTATTTTTTTAAAAAAGTAATTTCTTTAATGTTTTTGGTTAATATTCAAATCCAGGTATAAAATTCAATTTTATTTCTTCTCTAGGGTAGTATAAAGAGATGCTTTTTAAATAAAAACAAAAGATGTGAATGTTTTATGTTCAAGAAAAGAAAGTAAATACTGCAAATACATATAGAACAAAGTCAATTCATTCCCATTTCCCCAAGGTTTTGTCTAGACTTGTGAAAACAGCCTGCATTCAATATAATTCTGTTAAGTCTAAGTATACTGAAACAGGAAGTCGTATTGTAAGTAAAATAGTTGAGAGTTTTACAGAATCAGTGAGATATTGATATCAATATCGGGATTGGTGGATTAGAAGTCATAGCTATAGCTATTAAACGGAATTGGAAGTCATGCTACATGACTTGGAAAAAAGCTTACATTGGTTTCAATAGAGATGGACTTGTCTCTAAATGTTTTTAAATTTTTTAGAAAATTTATGAAGTCCCAAACATTTGTAGAAACATCTCTAAAGCAATAAGCTGCCTTCAAGATAGAAATGAATGAGTTTATACAAGAAGTTATGTCTTATAGGGACAGGATTTGATGACCTCATAATATCTTGTGTTCTAAAAAATTGTTTTGCCAGTAAATCAGAGAGGTAGAACTTAAGGGTAACTTATGAAGACTTAATCTTTTCTAAAGAATGGGAAACTCCTTTTAAGAATGGTTATTTGAGCCAGGAGGTGAATGTTAGGTATTCTAGAAGATTTCTGGGAATCAGCATGTGCTCTGTGAGGAAATGTCAGCCTTAATGATCAGCATTGCAGCATGTTCTGTTCTGTCATGCCAGCTAGCTGGAGAGCCTATGAAAATAAACACGTAAATGTGGCAAACTCCTAGCTTCCTTTTCTGTCAGAAGGGACTGGCTGAAAATATCATATATTTTGGACCACACACTTGAAAATCTTTTTCAGCATTTGGTCCTTAGTCAGGAAACTAGACCTTGACTCAGATTTTGGGCAAAGCTCTGTTCAACTGGCAAAGTTGATGGGTTTTACAAAAAGTCATGTTTAAGTAAATAGCAGAGGGGGCAGTCAATAGAAGCAGAAATTTTGAGTTCCCAGATGATCACAGCTTTAATGTTTAAAGGTCTGATTCACTGGGCAATACGTTAAATGTAAAGCTTCCCATAGGCTTCAAAGGACGTTGTATCGGATTATATTGACTTTTCCACCTGCTTCAGAAGGTATATTGATGGATTATTGATGTCAGTCCTACTTTTATCACAAATGCAGTGGAGACTGAAGGGAGATTTCATATAGCATATGCATTAGATTAATTTTGTATGAACTTAGTCTCTCAATGGATCTTCAGAAAAATATATGGTGGCTATGTGGAAAATATGCAACTGCATTACTAGCACAGGTACTTCTAAATTATGTTCAATTTAAATTAAGCCAATCTGAATTCACATTTAACAATAAAAATGGTCTCAAGCCATTCCTTAGCATTTAAAATCATTTCCTCTTGAGTTTCATGATGTTTTGGCTGCCATCCCTGCACTCTAGTTTTTGGAATTTGACCAATACCAGTCTGAACTTAACCTGGTTCTGAACTCAGCCACATTGGCTCATTCTAATGGAAACTGAAGTATATTGCCCCATACGCCCTTTCTCTTCCCTCACGATGTCTGAGGGCTTTTGTCCCCTTGTGGGAAAGGCTAGTGTGTTTTTGCAAACTTCTGTATATCATGTTGAATTCTTTTATGGGTAGGGGAAAGGGAAAATATCCTTCCTTCCCATTTTTTAACTATCAATAGCAAAAATTTATCGATCTTTGTTCTCCATCCGCCATGTGTTCTCCTCCTCCTTTCCTTTACCTGGCTCTGGAGACACTTGCTGGCAACTAGCCAAACTACTGGTCTTCTACTGTTAGTGTGTTTGAAACAGTCTGTGTTGAGCAGAATAAATATTACTAGTAAACCATCTTAATTATTAGTAATCACTAATAATTTGCTGTGACAGTTGTACCATTCTGCACTCCTTACTACAAAACACAGTAGTATTGATAAGTAGTAGTATTTATAAGTTTTTTTTTTTTTGCAATATACCACAGTTATGCTGATAATACAAACTATACAATAGTGCTTGGAACTGTAAACTATTGTTGGGGGAAAATAATCATTGACTCTAGGAGAAATAGAAGGGTTTTCATATAAATAGTTGAAGCTCTAAGTCTCTGCATACAGACTGTAAAAGTATTTAGTGGTGTTTTTAGCAATACCGTAATACAGAGTCAGACAGTGTTAGGGTCCAAGTAATATGACACGAAGGTGCCTTAAAAGTGGACTGATACACCAAGAAAAAAATACCCCGAACGCTGAGCTCCCTAAAGTGAATATTATATGGAAAATTGGACTGCTGGAGGTTCAGAGTTTCATTTTCTTTTCAATTTTATCTAAATTACTGACTTTAATTACATTATTGTTAAATATAAATCTAGAAGAATAAAAGATAAGGTTAAAATAAAGGGAGATGCTATTTTTCCGAGGAAACTAAAGTAAACATGCTTCCTACAATAAATATATAATCCCGTTTGCTGTAAAAATCCTTTCAGAAAACTTCTTCTCACTTTTTGCTGTGGGTTGTATACGAGGAGCCTGGTATGGGCTGCCAGCAGCTGTTTTATTTCCACTGTTCTATACAAACCTCCATGAGGAAAGTCTCATACCGTGGTACTGGGACATCTGCGGCTGTTCCCTGCTGGTGCTCCCACCGTTGTTATCATTCGGTTGCTCCTCTAAAAGCAAGTAGACATGTGCAAATGTAAAAGAATGTCACCTGGAGTGAGCATCTGGTTTAGTTCTTGCTCCAGAATTTCCACATGCAGTTTGTGCCAATGCTGCTTTAGCCCGCTGATGGGACATGAAATTCCAGCTAGCTTTTTTTAGTGTGTGTGAGTGTGTTTAGGCTTTAAGATTGTGTATAACTTGTGGTGTTCTAACTTCACAGGATAAAATGGTGCACTTTTGGACTTTCACCCTCATATGAAGGTGATATAAGGTTCATCTGTCAAAATCATAGTATGATCCGATCGTAACTATGCTTTCTGAGGTAGTTACAATGCATTGTACCCTCTGTGGTAAAGCTGTTCTCTGCTGGGATGAGACACACAGAAATGGAGGCAATGGGGTAAAAATTGGTAATTAGGCATATATATTCTCTGTTATGTATATTCTATGAGAGAGTTCTTTGCACTGAGATGAAGAGAAATACAAGACTTGTTGAGCTTGAATAAGTTTGAATATTAAATGCAAATCTTGTTCTTAAATAGTTGATCATGACTTATAAATACTCGTATTATCAGGAACTGCAGGATAAATGTCATTAGAACTTTTTTTTTTTTTCCCTAATACACCTTAAGAAATTAAACAAAGCAAATGCGTTTGGTAGCGCCCTCAGGAAAAGTCCAGTCACTTCCTGAGCAGTAATCTGCCTGTGAGCAGCAGATAGGTTCTCACTGTTTTTCATTTCCAGTTTCCAGTAATGGGACCGATTACTTGAACCAGAGAGTTTCAGCTGCAAAAACGTACTACTTTTAATGGCAAAATTTTATCTTTTTCCATAAAACAAACAAATAAAAAGGTTTTTTTACCTGTTTTTTTCAACCTTGAGACAAATCACATCTGATGATGAATATAGTTTTATTTGGGAATTAAGTGTCTGTTCGTCAGGAACGAGATGTATCTTGCTCTTCTGGTGATTTTCTTGCACTGTAAGTTTAATAACTAAATATCTAGGTGTGTACATGCCTTTTCAGTTTGCTTGATTTTATTGTTGGGGTTTTGTAGTGCTTCCCTTTACTGTCCATCAATCTGTAAGCCTTGAAATGACCTTTTTTTTTTTCCTCTCTAGATTCGCAACTTTACGCTCAGAGGAGAGGTAAGTTATGATTTTGCATGAAATATTGAAAGAAGTAATTAATTCTTCACTTGTTAGTGTACATCCATAATGGAGTTTAGATGGATTTGATGTAGTATAAGTTGGAGGAAAATCTGGCCATGTAAAAATAAAATATAGTACTTGTTGGTGTTTCTTTGTACAGTATTGAAATGAGAAATGTGCTACCCATATTTTAGTAATCATTTTGGTGAAATTCTGGAGTACTGTTTGACTAAAGCATACAATAGAACAGCTAGGAAGGGAAATTTAGTTGTTAGGCTTTTGTTTTTGTCTTTAAACAAAATTTCCTCATCACCCCAGAGCAAGAAGGTAGTATAAAAATATAGAACAGAAACTGTGGGTTCTCTCTGGAGTATTTGCTTTTTATTTTGCCTGTAAAAGCATGTCTGAGCAGAGTACAGAACTTCTGTCATGAATGGAAAGCGTTTAATTTTTATGTTATCTCCTTGCTGGGCCCCAGCACTTACATGCTACATCCTTCCTTTTTTTTTCCATCACTTCAGGGAAATGGATGTTTTTTTTTGCCAGGTAGTCTATTCACATGCAAAAAAAAAAAAAACACTTTTTTTGTATCTATTATGTACCTAAAGTTCTCTCAGACAAGGTTAATGTATAAGTAGCTGGTAAGTGGACATGGCAAAGGACTTCTCTAAACAGTGGAAAATTTTCCTAATCCAGTAGGATCTAATCCAAGTCTCTCATAAAAATCCTGAGCAAGATAGGCAGATCCCTGTAAGATGTATGTTCTAGGGAGAGAGAAAATAAAATTGTAAATGTTTCTCTATGCTTCTTCACCTAACTGTAAATTTTAAAAATATAACAACATTTTAATAATTTTTATGCTATAAAATTCTTCTGTTTCCTTCTTAAAGTAGTTTTTTAATATGAATATTAATTTCAGGACTAACAAGTCTAAATTGTAGGAGACTTTATATATGTTCAGTTTATGTTTTCATTTAAACTAAATGAAAGCTTTGCTTTTGTGTATGATCAGTAAGGATTTAATATGACTGCCCACACAGTGAAGATAAGTGTATAAATGTTGGTTTGCAGAAGTGGAAAGCAAGTATCTTCCATCATGCTCCAGTTGTCCTGAAATAGAGATTTAAAATTCTCCCAGGCTTGTGTGTTATGTGTTTAAAATTGAATTTGCTGAAAGAGGTAACTGTAGCCCTTATCTGAGATAAGAAACACTGGGATAACTCCAGCAATTTCCGCTAATTGTTTTGAGATTAAATAGAACTCCATAGGTTTATGGTTTATTTAGATAAGTAGAATTTGAAGTTTTGTCTACCTCAGGTCTCCAGGCAATAAGATTTGGAAACAAGAAACCATGAGGAAAAAAGGAAAACCTCGCAGTCAGCTGCAAAACAATTTAAGCATCCTTAGTGTCTTTCAGGAATTTGGTGGATTTGGCCATGAGCATCTAGATCTTAATTTTTCAAAATTTTGCTTGTCTAGGATAGAAGAGGGCTACTGCAATTACCAAAAAGAATGACTGAGACACATTAAAGCTAATTTTAATTGGCATAGGCTTCAGGTGTGTGTGCTTTCTGAACACAATGTGATTCTGTATGTTTAATAACTCTCAGTAGAATTCTTTTATACTATGTATTATTTTATACTTGTCTACTTTCCCCCTTGAATCTGTCTACATTTTTGCTGGAAATAGTTGGAAGCTTGGAGCATGAATGTTAAAGGTAGATTTTTACACATGCTAGCCTTGATTTATATGCCTGGGCATCCCCATATGGCCACTGTTAGAGACAGTTCTGGACTAGATGTATTCTTAGTCTGAACTGTTCTTAGATGTGATTCTTGATCCTTCAAGTTGATCTTCGTAGCTGGAGCTTTTTTTTTTTTTTTTTCTCCACTTAGAAGCAATAGGAATCCACTGAGTGTGGCCAGTAGAAGGACCAGAGCTACTGAATTCGGGGAGTGCTGCAGTCCCATGGCTCACAACATTGGTTGCTTAGTGATGAAACTGGTAGCCCACTCAATGATTCTGTCAGGCCCCCAGGATGCACAGTGTGTGCTGAGATGACCACCCTTTGCCTCTGGTGTATCTATGTGGTGGCTGGGGGAGCTGCTACCAGTGTCAACATCTGTGAGATCTGACCTGTAGCACAAAGAGCCTGGTAGACAGCCTGGTAGGATACAATTAATTGTTTTTAGTGATTAAAATGCTTGAGATAATATGCTCGATTAATTGAAAATAAATGTAACTTTTTTATTTTCTTCATCAAGTGTTTACTATCAACATGGTTGAAATCAAGGCTCAGCCATCTGCCAAAGTAAAGAATGGAGCTCCATTGTCAATCATCTGCCATGCTGATATTAGCAAAAAAAATGATTTCCAGCTGAGGCATAATTTTACAATTTTTAAGAATGGCAAGCTTGTGCTCACGATCTCATCAGATAAGAGAGAGGCGCGATATGGAATACCCATGGCTAGATCTTCAGATACGGGGGACTATGAGTGTACTGTGGAAGCAGCTGGGAAGATGAAATCTAGCAACTCTTTACACGTCTGGGTAACAGGTGAGTGAGTATTCCTTGAACACATGGTTGTGTTTGAAAAAAAAAGTCATGCACCTTTGTTCTTGCAAATTGTTTCTATCTGTTCATTAGTGTAAATTACTTACATAATCATCAGAGAATAGTATCTCTTTTATGATTATGCAGCGATCTGTTTCTTCATGTGTTCTCAGGGATGACCAAGCCAATACTGACTGCTGAGAAAGAAGATGTTTTAGAGGGTGAAGTTGTGAAATTACGTTGTGAACTGCCAGAAGAAGAACCTCCTTTAAATTTTGTTTTCCGGAAGATAAAGATGAATTCAACACCTAAAGAAAAACATGTAACTGAACTATATAGAAATTTTTCCACTACAGAATTTTCCGTTGAAGATGGAGATAATATTTTATATTTTGATTGCTTTGGTAGGAGATATGTAAATCTTGAACTTGAAACCTCAGAACCCAGTAACAGAACACTCGTTACAGTCAAGGGTAAGTGTTTACTTTTTTTTTTTTTTTGCTTATCAAAATTAAAAAGGTTGGATCATGACTTTTTAATGTATTCTCTTGCAGAGCCATTTATAAAACCTACTCTGAATGCCAAGCCCTCAAGCAATATTACAGAAGGAGACAGAATGCAGATTGAGTGCTCAACAGTGGTAGCCCGAATACGTGGCATTGAAATCATACTCCAGAAAAACAAAACAATACTGAACAGTGTAGAAGATGAGAGGCTTTTGAGATATTCTACAGTAGCTACTGTAGAGGATAGTGGTGAATATCTGTGTAAGGTGGAGCAAGGGAGAGCATCTAAAACCACCAAGCTCAATGTTGTTGTGGCAGGTAATTCTTCTGTTCATTTTAGGTTTGACTCTGAAGTGGCATTTAGGTTTGGTAAGATTTGGTATATTTCTGAAGTTTACATCCAGACCTGAGTAAATTTTCCCTAAGTTAAAGGATGTTTGCATTTACGTTTCTGATTTTTGTCTGCCACTGATAATTCACAATTAAAACAATATTTTCAAATAACATGTGTGAGAAGTGGCTTTCAGAAAATTGCAAAGTTTCTCTTTTCCCTGAAAATATAATCATGTCAAGATATGATTTTGGTTCTCTCGTGGTTGATTTTACTTAATTCTGTATGCTTTGGGTAGGTAGTTGTATTCTTTTATGCTCAATTTGAGTGAATTTGTTCTCTTTCTGTTTTGCAGAGTTATTTCCCAAGCCAGTACTGACTGCTTCAGCATTTAGGGTGGATGAACATAAGGAACTAACGTTGAGTTGCAGCATTAGCGGTTTTCGGAAAGCTAACTTCTCTATATTAAGGAGAAATTCAAATGGAGACCTCCAATGGTTGAAAAATTCTAGAAACTTAACGATGAGAGTTTATGTGAATAACAGTGGATCTTATATCTGTAGAGCTGAAGTAAAAGGAATCGTCAAGGAGAGCAAGCCTGTAAGGATAAATGTTTATGGTGAGTTGATATGGAGGTTTAGAGCCCAATGTGAGGGGGGGGGAAAAGGAAGCCATAGCATATAAATTAAGTTAATTTGTTGCAGAATCAATCCTTAGTCCATAAACTAACGTGTTATTTATTAGCATTTGTAATCTTATTTTCTGTGCAATATGCTTGTAGTCTTTAACTGTAGAAGATTTGATATGTCCTGATCTAATCAGGTCAGATTTTTCTAGGGCTGGCCTGAAGAGGAATAAAGTTAGTAAGTCTTCCCTTCTGTCTTCTCCCCTCCGTTCTGCTAGGAGGCAGACAACTCTCATGTCATTACAATTCCCAAGAAATGGTAATGTTCTTCAAACCTCTTGTTCATCAGTTTGATCTGACACTGTGTCTGCCCCCACTGAACACCCAGACAGAAGGCCCTGAGAGCTAGAGGTCTTTGGGATGGCTCTGCTCCAGGAGAGCTGAGGTCTTTGCTGCCAATAAAACTCCCTTCCCCTAGCTGCCCTGACCAGCACTAACTATCAACACCCTAATTCCCTTCTTCCTCATGGAGCATAAAAGTCAGTTCTGAGGCTGGTAAAGCAGGATTGAGTTGTGGTTGATGGTGCTGCAGACATGCAAATCCCTGGTTAGGCTCTGCACGATCCATCTCATAGGAAATGTAAGTAATGCTACTTTGCTTGCATATTTTTTCGCTGTACAGATTTAGTGCTTGGGTCAAAAGTAGCTCTGAAGTTTGAATCATCCACAACTGGGTCGTTGATTTGTTTCTTTTCCTTTACACTTTCCCCATCTTGTCTTTCGGTCCAATTCCTGTGTTTCGTGTAAGTGTTTTTGCTTTGTTCAAGTCATCCCTCTGCTTCCATCCCTCTGCTTCTGTTCTATCAATAAGCAACACCTCTCCGTATAGGTAGGCTGTGGAAACTAGCTAACTATTAAGTTTGTATGATATATTTTTAAAAATTGTATGTTTCGGCCCTATGCAGTGGAATTGGTGATTTTTTTTTAATTATTTATTTTTTCTTCCCACTTTAGCTCCAGTCTCTAAGCCAACTCTTTCAGTTGTCAGTGGTTTACCAGAGGTAGTGTTAGGGAAGCCTCTGTGGTTAATCTGTCGTTCTGTGATGGGAACTCCTCCAATAACATTCACATTCTACAAAGAAAATAAAGTTCAGAAAATAGTAGTTAATGACACGTATGCAACATTCTTGGATGAAAACATTGGAAGAAATGACAAAGGAGGATACAAATGTGACGCTAAAAATCACCACTCCAGTGGTACGAAAGCTAGCAATATTCTAAACATCACAGTGATAGGTAAGTCTGTTTGATCCTTCTTTTTGTTTGACGTTAGTTGTTGATTTTTGAAAGTGTTTATAGCATCAAATGGTGGACTGAGCAAGATGGATGTGAAATCTGCATGAAAGTTTTTTCTCAAGTGAATTAAAAATAACTCACTTGAAAATATGTTGGAATCTGCTTTGTTTACTATTTGTTCCTGATGTGAAACTTCTGATAGTAATCTGGATCAAGTTAATGACAACTGAAATTATGTTAATGCAAGGTAGTTTTTTGGGGGAAAATATAGCTTAATCTTGAGTATTTGAAAATCTGAAAGATATTAGGTGTTTTCATTAAAATGATGAAGCAAATATCAATTCAATAGCAAGCCATGTGAGACTGGTGTAAGGACTGATAAGTCCTGTTTTGGGCTCTGGTGAGCCAACCTCCTGCAGAATCACGCTCTTCTGAGGTGGTTTCTGCGAATTCTTTTTATTCTGCCCCTTTCTGGGGACAGGATTTGGAACAAACAAACAAGAACTCTCTGATGGATAAGTCCTGTCACGGTCATGGGATCAGTCCTAGTAACCAACATCTTACATCTAAATCTTAGCTTCCTATCTAATACAAACACATCTTTCATCAGTAGCCCTTTTTTTTTCTGTTTTTTAAATCATCTTTAACTTTCTAATTCTGTTTCTATACAGTGTAACCTTAGTGATTTCTCTTTTCTATCTGTCTTGCGTTTTTTGTCCCCTTGCCTCATTCACATTTATAAACTTTCCAGATAAATCTTATTTAGTGATTTTTGGCAAAACATTTTCTTCATATTCTAAACATTTAGGAAAGCTACTAACATTCTACATATCTTGCATCATAAAAAGGCTTAACAGTATATACGTTTTTTCATATGTCATTATACATGCTGATACACATCTGCTCATCTAGCTATGTATACATTAATATACTTAATTTGTAGAACTGCAAACCTAAAAAGTGTATTTTAGCTATTCATATTCTTACAGCGTATTAAAATGCAAGCTAGCTTTTCTCATTTTGTTTGTTATAACTTGTAACCCTTTGGAATTTTTGGCTTGCTTAGGCTCAAAAATTTGATCCAATATGTGTTATGTTAAATGTCATACATTAAATGTTACAGAACAGATAAAATACAATTAGTAAAAAAAAAAAAAGCACAACTCTAACTATGTAAGTAGAACTACATAAATTGAGCTGTAATTAAATGCACCACTGAACTGTTGGATCTGGTATTTCTGGAAATAACTTAGATTGTTTCTAGGTTGGAGCCTGAGGGGGATCCACAGACGTTTAAGAAAATATACTGGTTTGACTGTTATGAGAATTGAAGTAGTTTACTTTTGTGTTTGCTTAGTTTGTTTATAGTGCCTTTGTAATTCTGGGTATAAAAATATTTATTAGATAATGCTCTCTGGCAAAGACGGTTCAAACACATCAGCACTATGTGTTCAGTCTCTGTTGAGCAAGGAAATCTCACATTAAAGCAAGTATTTCTACAGTAAAGTATTCTGTCTTCAAAGTCGCTTTCCATAGTGCTGACACTTGTTTTCTTTGTCTCTTCTGTAGTACCAACAAGGAATGCCAGCTTGGGCAGCAATCCCTATGGGGAAGTGGAAGATGGCAGTGGCACTGTTTTCCTCTGTTCTGTGAAAGAAGGATCATGGCCAATCCACTTCAAGATTTTTAAAAAAACTGATCGGGAAGACCTTGTATATGAAACAAGTGAGAACGCAGACAGAATCTTGTGGCACAAGGAAGTAATGAAAAGAGAGGATACAGGAACATATTACTGCATTGCTTCTAATCGAGCTAATGTGGATGTGAAGAGCCAACCAATAACCATCAGTGGTAAGTTAATTTTATGATACGCTGCATGCTCTGTCGTCGTGGCAGGTGAGGGCTGTGTTATTTGGGATGTTAGTGAGTGTACCTCCCTCACGGGTTTTCCTTCAGCCGCTGGCAGACGAAGCATCGTTTATAAGCAAAGATTTCTCACTTGCATAGAACAGTTTCAGAGATGCTCAAAAGGCAAAGAAGGCAAATGCAGAAGCTAAAAACAACTGTTTGTTGTTCTGAGAAATTGTCTGTCACAAGGGAAAGGCTCACTAGTGAATTTTGTGTGCAAGTCCTCATTAAAGTTCTCCCCCAGCACTTAAGAAGGCCTGTTTGTAGTAAAGTGAAAGCCTGCTACTGAACATACTTGTAAACATGTCTTTCTTATTTCCAGTCATCTTAGCGGCTTGGCAGAAAGGAATCATTGCTGCATTTGTCCTAATACCTATTGCAGGAGCAATAGCTCTCACTTTATGGTGGTTCTTGGTTAAGAAGAAAACGGGTAATAAATCATTCTTTTTGATTTCTTTGGTGATGAATGCATTATAGCTAAAGCCTTGCATTTGCTTCAGAAGCAAAGGCCTGTTGAGGATGAAACTTCAGGAGATGTATTTAAATACCATTTCAGAAAGCAGCAGAATCTAATATTTGAGGTGGCCCAGGTTAAGCCACAGGCATGATGATGCTTTCCAGCTATCCTGAACAAAGGGAGAACATTTAGCCAACAGTGCTGGAATGGCACTTGTAGAAGAAAAAGTTATTGTAGCTTGGCCAAAATTCCACTGTTCGGATGTGGGCCCAGACTGGAGTTCAGTAAATGGGACCTGAGTGGTTTTTTTTTTTATTTTTTTTCTTGAATCAGTGTGGAGCTATGATGATTTGTTTTGATTTGGGGTTCCAATTCAAGGATAATTGAGCTAATTCTCCAGTTCTTACGAGGCAAACTTAAGATAGCTTTTTCTCTCTGCTGTCAAATACAATTTAAGTTTTTGTTGTTGCTGTTAATGTACTCTTTGAATTTTATTCTTTCAGAAAATAAGCAAATTAGCTTTAAATGTTCATCCTGAGATATGTGGTGTGTTGCAAAATATTAGGGAATGTTTTCAGTATCTGGGAATCCCAGACTGCTTAAATTAACTTATCTGTGTTTGGAAAGTTGAGATCATAGCTTCCTTGCAAGAGACATTTCAGGAACCTGAATGTTTCAGGGAGATAAGATTAATTACCTAGTATTCTGTGTCCTGTATACGAGTGCCAATAGAAAGTACTCTGACTTGGGTAGATAATAATAACTTTGTTTGCGTTTTCATCTTTTAAATTCTTTTACTTATGCAGTGTATTAATAGCAACTCTTATTTTACTTTGTCAAGCTAAAAGACCGTCCATGGAGATGTCCAGGTAAGATGTCTTGCTTTCTGATAATGCTGAGATATTTCTGTTTAGAGGACCAGTGGCCTTCCTCCAGATTAATTTACTTTATTATGGCACACACGAATATATTTTATCATGACACACACCTGCAGACAATAGATGATTGTAGTTGTGTGCTTCATACGCCACCTGCAAACTTACATCAACAGGATGAGGAAATATTCTAAAAATAGAAAAAGATCAGCTAAGAGGGGTAGAGGAATGTCAGACCTACATCTGAACACATTCAGATATGGAAGTAAAACTCAGAAGCCTTCAGGCAGAGTAATGTTAGAGGGGTGACTTTTAAACTTTAAATTTGCTTGTGCTTTTCTTAAAGCTGAAGGCAAAATTTTCATTAATTTAAATAGTTAAAGAGGTATGGTAGTCAGCATAGATAATGACTGAACTTTGCATAGCATCATACTGTTTTTACCAATTGCATGTTTTGGATAATTATATCAAATTTTATTGGCTTTTCAGATCTGCCTTTGGTACAAACCTGACAAGTGAAAAACTGACAAGAGAGAACAATGATGGAGACTATTATTCTGGTAGGATATTTTCCTGAAGACTATTAATGAGTTGTCTGGATTAAGAAACACTAATTTGAAATTTTTTACTTGCATGATTGTGGTTCGAACAGGGGCCATTTTTGGGAGGAATGCATAGGAATGCCAATAACATTCTCCCACTTATCTCCTGGCATATTGTTGCTGTATAGCTTTTTTATGAGCATATCTTGCACAAAGATTAGTTTATGAATCTGCTTAGTCACTTCTATCAAGCAGTTAGTTACCAACATTACAGATGGAGAAACCATAGTAAAAGAAAATTGCTTGTTTTTGAGAATTTTAAGAGCCACAAGAAAATTATTTCAGAGAGGAAAAAGAGAAGATGTGGCATCTGGTCCTATGTACTGGCCCCACAATATAGGTATATTAACTTGCCACTAGTTGGCACCTTTTATTCCACTATCTCAATACACTTTAAAGATAGCTGCATGTGTTTAGAACACCTGATATGAACAGTGTATCTTATTTTTATTTAGCTGATCATTTGCAAAAGTCACACTCCTCCCATCTGTGTTATATAACTGTCTTGGATGTGATGCTAAGCACAGAATTTCTCATATAAGCATTGTGAAGTAAGAGTAGCAGCTTTGTTTTAAGCTGGAGATGTGCAACTCATAGATTTGATTGGCTAAAATAAGTATTCTGGCAGTTCAATTTTTGCTTGAATATTTTAGGATCAAGCTACATTGAAGATGGTGAAAATCACATGAAGTCAACAGATGAAAATAAAGGTAACTGCATTATTTTTAAACAGTAGATTTAAAAATAGCTTATGAATGGAAATTGTGGTCTTTCTGATGGTAGTAATCAAGATTTGAAAGTTCAGTCCCTTCTTGTTCTCTGATGGTGAGGAAAACACTATTCTTTGAGTCTAGTTCTGTTTCCTCACATGCAAAATGACAATGACATGACCCCTTTCCCACTGCATTATGAAGTATAACTAGTTGTGCTGGGTTTGAGGCCATCTGGTGAAGAACAATATAAAAATACTTATGGAGCTCAAAATTTTCAGTTCTATATGGCATATATTCAGCACTTGTTTTTCTAAAGTATAATACCTACAGACTTTTGCATTTTTTGTTTCTCGTCTTCATACCTGTAGGTCTTGAAATGTTTAAACTTTAAACCTATAATAATCCACCATAAAATCTGAATAAAATTACCTGCAGAATGCCAGGAGACACTACATAGACTAATATAGATATAATCATTAAAATGTGCCATAAAGTATTGCATTGTCTAGTATATTGTATTCTGAAGGACTAGTGTTTAAGATATTTAGTTAAAGAATAGTATTTGCATATGTGGGTATTATCATCTGAAAGCACACTTTCTCTCAAATGCTTTTGTTTTATACTGCTATGAAAGTGCTCTGATGGGTTAGATGCAATTTCTAATGACTTAGAATACAGGTTGACTTGGTTTTTTCTTCAACTATGCATCAAAAGGTAGCTGGGAATGCATTGGTGTAACAGAAATTCAGATTAATCCTAAATTAATCCAGATTACAGAGCTGGATTCCTGCATATACTTGTATGGAACATAGTAGGAAATAAATGGCAGGAATCTGCATTTCATAATTTGTGCTGCAGCTCTGAGTGTACAAGGCAGCACTGTATCACAAAACTAAGAGAAAGGAGCTGTGCTAAGTGAATTTTACAGGAAAGCTTGGAAACAAATTATATAAACAGTAGCTCAATGGCTTTTTTTTTTCCCCCTCCATTGTATCTTACCTGTTTCAAATTAAATGGGCTCTGCTCTAATGATCTGTGTCATAAATAATCATCAATCCTGACCAGCTATGGATTGGGCAACTTCATTAAAACCAGCTAAATTGTTGCAGATTTCTGCCAGATGTGAAAACCAAGGCTATTGTTGTACCTCCAAAAATAATAGTATCTGTTCCTGCATTTGTGTACTTTTTACTTCAACAAGCAAGAGGAAAGAGCCTACATTTGGTTCATGGTTATCCCACTGTGGTCTAAGTAGGTCAAATTAGAACAGGAGAGTGTCTTAAATGCACACGTTGGAAACATAGAAACTTAAGGCTGTGCTGGTTCTCCAGGATCATTGCTGTTTTAGGAAGTATGCCCTTTAAACTTTGTTTATAACTAATATGGCTTCTTAAAAAAGTTTTTTTGTTGTTTTGATGTTTTCTTGTCTATCACCAGTACTATTGATAGGCTGCTTATTGGCAAAGCAGAACTTGAGATGATGAGGTGAGGGAGACCATGGAAGACTCAGGAAAGGCTTTAAATGTGAATAGAGAATAGGAAGTGTCCTGCCACAGCAGCTAGGGAAAAAAGAAGAAAAAGTAATTTCAAGGAGAGAAAAATGAGAGAGCAGGGAGAGAAAAGATACAGAGAAATTAGAGCAGGATATGGAAATATCCCTCATAATGCCCTGCTTCTTATTGTGCCACTTTTGAAGGTGCTGTATAGAAAGTAAGAGTTCAGGCACAACTTGCTTATCATACAGTTTCAGAAATGTTTCTTGACTTGGTCTGCTGCCTCTCTGATAGGGATGAGCCTCAGGCTTGGGTGGACCTCACACCTCTTATGAGAATAACTCAAAACTGCCATAAGAAGGGCTTGATCCTGCACCTACCAAAATTAATAAGGACTTGCCTGTTAATTTCAGTGGTAGCAGGATCACAGCCACAGCTCAAACATGCAGTACTACAAAGAAATATCTTCTTGGTATTTTTGGGGCAGGACCTGACCTTGAGAGTGCTGAGGTGGAGTACACTGAAGTTGAAGTATCAACGCTTGATCCTCACAGAGGTAATAAACTATTTGGCCTCTATGATTATATTTTGTGAGCATCTCTGGACTCGTTCCTGCTTCCTGACACTAGTCTGCTACTGGCGTCTGTGGGAGTTAGAACAGGTTGTTGCGTGTGCATCACAGTTTCATGTGTCCTTAATTTACATGATGCTGTGGCAACTGTGCTGTTGTCCAGTGCAGCCCTTCTTCCCTGTGACCCGCTTGTGCACCTGCCTTTCCCTTCTGCAGGAGATCTGTGCAAGGCAGGACTCCCTGCTGGAGCTGTGGCTGTGAGCAGAAGGCAGCCCTGTCAGCTTCATTTTATGGAATCCAAATTAATTAATAGGCATTTGAAGATGTCCACAGGATAGAACAGAGGAGTTTCTTCTCTTTATAAAGGAACTGGTTGAAGAGTCAAAGCTGTGATCCACTGTGATGAAGAAGTAGGAAAGAAAAGAGTGGTTTTAGCCTCAGTCTGAAGAGTGCTGGAACCTATCCTGAATTTTGTGGCACATTAATTAAGTAAATGATGAGAATATTGATGCCCAGATAACTTTGGTCTCTGGCTGTCACAGTAGCTACAGTGACAGAGCTCTTAGCATGAGTCTGAAGTACATCTCTCTGCAACCTTGAAGGAGGAACATTCACTGAAATTTATTCTAAACACCTGAATCCACGTTTCAATCATCTTCTGTCATCCAGAGAGCCATGAGCATTATGCTCTTGTGCTGAAAGCTGTTAAATCATTCAGCAATTTTCAAAAAAGGTTTGAATAGCTCAGTGAATAAAACCCATGAGAGAGATTTCTCCTGTGCCCTAGCTTCTCTGTTCTAGCTGGATGAGAAGCGGATGGGGGAAGATACAGGCAAATTTACTGTTTCCTTGTCGGAAGGGACACTCATTTATTTGAGACCAAAGGCATTCTTCTTTCGCTAGTAATACAGACATTTGGGCAAGCGTACTTGCTGTTCAAGGTTGGCAACAAAGTTCTTCTAGAACAGCTAATTTTCCTGTTCTTCCGTTTTCTCATAAATTGGTGTCTTTCATCCTAGCGGTTTCCCTGTATTCTTAGCATGCTGTCTGTCCACTCTCTGCACTTAGATACCAAATGGGACTAATACGTTTGCTGGTTGTTTTACATGTTTCTCAGTGCGTGCTCTGCTGTACGAAGGTGCAGATGTGCTAGCATTTGAGAAATGGAGATCACTATATTAAATGCATGATCAACATCTTTAAAAAAAAGTCTATCTTGTCCTGATATGATGCTGTAGCAGTATAATGATCTTTAAAAAAAAGTCTATTTGTCTTGTTCCTGATATGATGCTGTAGCAGTATAATGGACTGAGTTTAATGCTATATAGATTTCCTTTATAGCTGAATCCAATTAAAATGGGCAAAACACTTTTTTTAAAAGAAAATGTGTAAATGAGAACAGATGATGTAACTCTATGAGGACTCAGCAGACATATGAGATGTTCAGTACATAACTTGGTTCTGTAAGACTGTACTGAGCTTCAGGAATATTGAGGTGTTAAAGCTCCCCCAGTCTATTTCTTGAGGTGTACCCAGGACTCCATACAGAGACTCTGTTCCTAACAAAAATGGTTATCTTTTTAAAGTGAAATTGAATAAAAAGATGACACAATGATTTAGACCCTTTATTGTTAATGCAAGAAAAAAGAGAGGCCTTTGCTAAAGTAAAATCAGGAAATATCACTAAAGTGAGAAGGGAGAAACTGCTAATCATGGGTGAGTAAGAATATGTTCCTTCTTTTACTTTTATAGCTGATTAGTCATCTGCAGGGCGGCAACATTATAAAGTCAACAGGGACAAATGTCAAATCATCCAAGTCATTTATCCTAGCACATTTTTTCCAGTGCTGGGACAACTTTTGGAATGTTAACCAAAAAAAAAAAAAAAAAAAAAAAGGATAGAGGTATAATAAGTGAACTTAATGAAAAAGAAAAGCAAGCTAAGGAAACACCTCCCACCAAGTCTTTCTACAAAATCAACAGGAGTAGCAGGAGTGGATTTAGGGCTGTAATTGGCTAGAGAAATGTGCTACTAACAAAATGAGCTACTTGTTAAAATTGTGAAAAGACTGCATGTGACTCCACTGGAAATCAGACTGATTGTTTAAGCAATATTGCGTGGCATATGAAATGTATTTCAAGAGCTTCAGACTTTTTTTGTCCCCTCCCCTCCAAGGAAAGTTGATGCCAAAATTGCAAGGTTACAAGGTCTTAGTTTTTCAGCTCTTTGGCCAAGACTCAGCCCCTTTCCTACCATGAGAAGTGTCTGTAGTTGTGATGCTTGGTATGAAAACTGTGCGGAGAGGTTTTCATGGATATCAGGAAAAAAGGAAGACCTTTTGGTTTTCATGACATAGACATGAGCTTATTTTCAACTCCAAGTGTCCAAAAAATGAAAGGCTAAGATTAGCACTGTGTGTGTATCCCAGCTCTGTCCTTGGAGGCATGAATCTTCTCTGGCTGCTTTTTTTTCTTACTTTCTATCATTCCACAAGCTGCCTTTGCCTTCCCCCGTGATGTGTCCATATGATCTAAATGCACTAATAGAAGAGTCTGATATGATGAGGAAATGAGGAGACCCGTCCTAGAAAGTGCATAGATAGAAACCATGCAGTGTGAAATCAGATCACTCTTCAGACACTTCAGAAAGAATAGCAAATCACATCATTTTTGTGACCATACTATTTAATTAGGCAGTTACCGTAATGGAGTGTAGTACTCAAATTTACAGATATCCTTGGGCCTACGATTCCTAAATCCTCAAAACAAATAGCAGCAGCTCTTTTAAATCATGCAGAGGACTTTGTTTCTAGTGTAAAATGTTTCTGTAAAACTCAAGTACTGTCAATTTGAGGAGTTTATTAGAATGCTAGAGTCAAATTTAGGAAGGGAAGTCTATTTTGACTATCACTTCCATAGCCAGGAAAAGACATCTGTATCAGAACCATACAGAGGGGCTCTGCGGGAGAGGAGCGTAGGTGCTTTTTCATACAGCCTGCATAGGTACCTGCTTCCTCTCAAAGTAAAACGGGGTGTTCTGTTGGTTTAAGGAGATTTTTGTAAGGCAGACAAACAAACAAAAAGAACAGGAAAAAAAAAAAAAGAAGAAAATAAATTGATTCTGTGCTAATACATTTTCCAGCTCCTGTACAGAAGGCGACTGAAACAGTTTATAGTGAAATCAGAAAAGCTAATAATGGTAAGTAAGCTAGTGAAAATTAAACACATAAAGGAAGCATTTGCACAGAGATAAAGGGTAGATTTGTGAGTGACTAGTATAGAAGACAAACGCCATAAAAAGAGATCCAAGTCACACAGGAACATCCTGAGAGCAGCTAAGAAATCACTGTTGTCAATGAATTGTGCAACATCTTTCTCACTGTCTAAACCACTGATCCTCAAGGCAGTGAGGTTAACATTTGTAACATCTATTTCACTAGCCCATTCTTACTGAGCCTGCTGTGTAGTTTGGCTCTACTTTTACATCTGAACATGTCCTGGTGGGGATTATGGTAGAGTGCTGTCCTCTGATTCAAACCCATCTTCAGCAGTTAATGAAGAACACTTTTCCTTTCACTCTACCGCTCTTAGTTGAGCATTCTTGCCACTGTTATAAAATATTACACTGCTTTTGAACATACCTCTAGCAAATATCCCTAAAGCTCCCAATAACAAACTAAAAAAACTTAAAGCAATATAATCACTTCAGCAGTGGATTAGTTGCTTGTTTTAAGCATCACAAATAGTCTCCGATTGTGTGTGCTGGCCATACTAACCCTTCTCAGATCCTGAATTTAACAAAGACTTTTGTATGTGGACATGAGCAGCTTACTGGCAATTACTGGCAATTACATGTTTTGCCAGTAATGGGTTCAGAGACAGTTTGTTAAAGACTAAATCAAAGAATTATCTTTCCTCTCTTTGTATTAGGAAATCTAGATCTGTAAATACTAGGCTGTAACTGGTCAATTTTCCTCTCCATTCCTCATCCATCTTATCAAGTGGCTTCGTACAATGTTCAGTTTTTCTTATTCATGTGTTGCCATATTTCTAATTAATATGGGATTTCCTACCCCCTCCAACACAGTATTCTGATTGTAAGGAATCCTTCCTGGCATCTCAAGATGCTTTACAAAAGATTGCATAATATTCCCTTGTGAGGAATTATAAGGCAGTTCTATCTCCATTTTACAGCTGAATAAACAGAGAGATTAGATTGTTTGTTTCAGACATGCGTTTAGACAGTGACAACACTGGGAACAGAATTTCAGAATTCTGACTTCTAGCTTGCTGCTAAACCTATAGTTTGCAGGCAGTTCCACAGCCTTGCAGAGAATGCAGCACATCTGGGCTCTTCGTGTAGGATTGCCTGGCAGCATCACGAAGAAAAAGCAGCTCCCCTGAGGGCTAATGAGCTGATGTTCTGAAAGGTTTTCTGGCGAGTGTGGGCCGGATCTGTAACGGGCTTCGCAAACTGGTTGCATAGTCCATTTATTTCTGCCAAGGGGAATTGCTGAATACTATGCCTTTCACCAAAACAAACAGTTTTATATACTAGAAGGCTGTGTAGTGAGTTCTAGCATAAGCTCAAGGGTGGTGCAGTGGAACTATAATTTAAAGCACTTAAGGTGGGAACTGCACGATTGAAAGACTAGGCTGAATTAACCAGATCATATGCAAACACCCCTTAATCTTGCAGTCCACCTGCTCTTTTATACGTAACATTCTACAGTTTAAGTTATGCTTGGAAACATAGTTAGCAGTTTATTATTTTAATCACGTCTGTTTTTCCTGACTGATGCACAGGAAAAGTGTTTCAAATAGATAAGCAGTGCATCACATTGCAATGAGGTTGCTTTGGATAGCTACATTGCATTCTATTTAAATGTAATATTTACTTTGTTTTTGGTAGGCTGAGTGATGAGAAGGTAGCAAAGTACAGCCACAGTGGAGGATCCCTGAAAAATAGATATATCTTTCATAAATTAATGTAGGTACATTAAAACCCAATTCTGAAAAATGACGAATTTTACGAGTGGGCACAGGAAGTGTTTTATCTCTCTGATGTTCTCTAGGTTTGATTATCTTTGTGAGATTTTTGGTGTCAGAAAGTGTAATCTGTGTCAGGAAGTCAATGGTTGGGATATAGGTGTCCTCTGGGGGAAACACATGAATTGGGGGATTCATGTTGGCTATACTGTTTGAAGGATGTAACACCTAAGACCTATGTAACATTTTAATATTACATACAGGTCACATCTGTGGTTTGGGTTTTTGTAATTAGAATTAATTGAGTGCTTCATAAGCCATTATGACTTTTCAGGAAGCTGCCTGTGCATATCAGGAATCATGTCCATTAGAGAGGAAGCTGAAGAGCTGTCAGTAGTTGTTATGGCTGATGCAATTTTTGTAACTTAGCCAAAATATTCTTTCTCTCCCTTTTTATGACCACTACCACTGCACTCCTCAACAAGGCTGATGCCATCTCAATGACCAAATTATCTTGGATTTTGATCTCCACAGCTGTCACTCCTCCTTACCCTAACTCATGGGTCCCTCGTGTAGATAATCCTCTGGCCTTTCCACAGTGCCCTTGGCAGTGTGCTGGGCACCTACTATAGTCTCTGGAAGCAACTCATACGGGTGAATTTGCACTTATGGTGAATGGTAATTTAATTCAACGAAATAAGATCTGGTGTTTGTCAAGTTGATCCAGGTATTGGTTTAAAATTTCTCTAGATCAATAGGCTGTTACTTTAGCATTTTACAGAAAATATCTAAAGCTTCAAGTCTCAGTCCCAAATCCAACCTTGCATCAGCTACGCATCCAAATGGCAGCCTGGGGAATGGGCGCATTTGGTACCTGCCACCCCCTTGTACCTGCCCTTGTACCTCTGTCTAGCAGTTCCCCACCCCATCAGGATGAACTACTTTAAAGTGCTGTTTTTGTCAGCTCATTCTTAGAGTCATTGTTTTTTGTTCAGAACAGAGACAGTTTGAGACATAAGCAAAACAATTAATTATCTCAATCAGCAGCCTGCCAGAAGGCAAAATGCCCAGGGCCTTTCTGCCTGCTCTGCCCTGCTGGAATCCTGGCAGCCTGGGCTGCGGGGACTGTTCCCGAGGGAGAGGCCGTGGTGAGGGCTGCTCCAAGCGTGGAGGCTCCCCTGGGCACAGGATTTACTTCCATCACGTCTGTGAGCCTCGCAATAGGGATGAGAAAACCAGGCATCTCCATCCTGTGTTTTCTTTTTTCCTCTTTGCCTCAGCCCCACCCCTTCCTCGGGCACTGGAAGGGGTAGCTCAGTTCATGCAGCTGATACTAGAGCCAATTCTGGGTCGCAGATTTCCCTATGTTTTTCAAGGCACTTCTTGTGGAAACCAGTGGCTGAGCACATCCTCATGTCTTCGGTTAGCTCTGCTTTTGTTCTGCATCAGATCCAAAGTTCACAGAAGCCAGTGGTGGGTTTTGTACTGATTTTGATGTGCACTGAGTTGAACTCAGTGCCTTACTGCAAGAAAGCTGCTCTCTATTCTTAGTTTCTCATCAGGAAAAGGGAAATCTAGCAAACAAAATGCAGAACCTTTATGCTGCTAAGTCTGGAAAAATGAACTGGTCGCTCGAAGGTAACTGCAGTGGCGAGACAGGAAATTCCAAAAATCCTACTGCAACCAACAATGTACTATGGAAAAATAAATATATCCCAGTGGAAAGAGGCATGAGAAATCCCCGTTACATTCAGTAGTTTGGAACAAACTATTAGAAATCAGCTCCAGTAATCAGGAAATCTACTCAAATACTTTCCTGCTCCTGGGCCCCGGCTTAGCACCTCTGTACTCAGCCAGAAGTTCCCACTGAAAGCCTTTTCCAGCATGAAGGAGGCTCACAGGATTTGGGGTTCATTACGCTCTTCAGAATTTAGCCCTTAAGAACACATTTTAAATAATCTTTCTATCCTCTGAAATAAAATTGCTGTGTATCTTGTTATTTCAAGACGTGTTCTGTACCAAAGCCTAGATCTGTGAGACGTTGATTCCAGAGCCAAAGGCTGACCATAACTTCAGCAAAAAATCAGGCCAAGTCATATGGTTTCAGTAAGACACAAATATGCAGGGAGCTTCTGCCCTTGCTTGAACCCAAAATGCAAAGCAGAAGTGTGTGTGTGCGCCCTGTGCAAGATACTGTTCCCAATCTTCCTGCCAAGATTCCCTGTCTGTTGGAAGCTACTGCTCCTATGAAAGCCTTGGCAGAATGTAGTGCTTGCCTGCACTTCAGCTTCTTCAGCTGATAGTCCAGCTTTCCCCAGTGCTAAAGATGTTTGAGATGGATTGTGAGTTGCAGCTGCTGCATATAGTCTGTGTTGAAGTGTGTGTGTGTGTTTGTGTGTGTATATATATAAATATCTCTATATACAGTATTTTTTTTCTGTACATACATATTAAAAAAAAAAACTGTATCAGTGGAGCAGGGCAAGGCAGAGGAGAGACGAGCATCTTACTGCTGCCATATGATGCATCAGAAGAAAACAGTATCTATTTGGGCTTCTTGAGGAATATCTACTTGAAATCCAATCATTTCCTCGAGCTTTACTGATCCCAGGTTCCAGTAGCTGCCACTAGGAAAATACATAACGAAGCCACATGGGCTGGCATTCATTCCTTACAGAAAATCCATTTATTGTATTCCTTTTTGAAAGTATATTCTTTGAATTTAAAACCTCATCAACTGTGAAAGCAAAGCAGTAACAAGAATTTAAATCCAAAAAATAAAAGTACCTATCTTATTATACTTGGTAATCTTTTAGAAGTCACCAGTGCTGGAAATTAAGATCTTTTATTGCTCTAGTTCCTTTAACATAACATTTAAATCCTAGTTTGTGATTGCTATAGAATAAAACTTGATTTTTTTTCTGTGAAAGACTAGAATCTAGCATATCTCCATTTCCCTGTTTTTGTTAATAGAGGGAATGCCAGGTTTCATTTGCTCCCTCTGTTCCCTTTCATTGCAGTAAAATCAGTTCAGTTTGAGTAAAAGATACTGCATGCTTGCAACAGGAAGAAAAAGTAGATTGTGAAAAGATTGGCTTGGCAGAGAATCCGCAACGGCAGCATCCAGCTGTCACTGTGCCTTTGTTAGAGGATATTCGCAGACCTATCTGGTTGGTACCTTTTTAAAACCATAAGGCAATTTAGCAGCATCTTCAAAGGACACAGTGTGAGACCTTCTCCTGGCAGTGACGTGACACTTGGCTAGAAAGTCACATTATTTTGATTTGGGGTGACAGATTACCTGGAGGTGGGATATCTGTTATTGTGACCAAGTAGCTTTGGAGTTATAAACATCCCGTTGTTTGAAGTTTGGAATTTATACAAAATTTCTCATTTCCTCCTTCCTGTGAGCACAATGCATGGTGACATAGGCCTAAACGGTGGCCTGTTAATACCTCATTTCATAAACCTACACATGCAGTTTTGTCTACTCAAGTCATGCTTTGGTGTAGCAGTGGGTTACTAGCATCTTTGTTCAGTGCCGTCTTCCTTCAAGGCACAAAAATCTTTTACATCTTTCCTATGTAACTTTATTTTGTTTCTTAACAAAGTTGCCAAACAACTTTGGGATAAAATCCATGCTGAAATTAATGTTATGTACCTATAGTGTAATGGGCTGTAGGCACGTGATTTTTTCACTGCTTTGCTGGACTGAACCTTGTGAGCAGCCCTGTTTCGAAGGTGCTTCGTAGCTTGTGGTGATCGGTACCTTCTGGTTGTCTCTGCATTTCAGAAGTCGCAGCCTGACTCTATGCTGTGGCTCTGTGTTGATGATGCTGCTTTCACTGAAGCAGAATCATAACCTGATGTGATAAAAATGCTGATGTTATGAACTTTGTGAGCTTAACGATGCAAAAAAATACGCACGGATGTAATCATAAAGGAGAGAGACGTTAGTGCTGTTAACTGTTAGATTCACCTTTGTTCAGTTTCCTTATGACTTACTGGCCATCGAGGGATTTTCTAGACCTTTATTTAGGTCTCTTTACAGTTTTTACTAGCCATAACAACATGTAGTGTTTTTTATAATATTTTTTATTTGACAATTTCAAAGCACTATTCAAACATTATTTAAAAAGTGTTCTGATGACATTAGATACATTTCCTTGACACAGCCTCTCTCCACTGAATTTGATATACTCCCCAAGCAAACAGCCTCCAGGATTCAGTGCTTGCTTCTATCATGTGTGAAACAACAGGCCACACAAAAAGAGCGCTTTGAACTCCGTCCTCTTCTGAAAGAGCAGTTACTTTCCTTATGTCTCTAAATTGTCTTAATATTAGAGGCAAAGAAACATTTATGTTTTAGTATCTGAAGGTATTATTTGGAACTTCTAAACAGCTAATTTAATTCTAAAAATAAGTTTAAGGTCCATTTTTGAAGTTTAATGATCCTAAATGGAAAGACATCCCACTGGCTTTCAGACCTTCACTGGGGACAAGCATCTCTTGATTAATCAGACATCAGGTGTCTTCATGGGATCGTATTTTTCTCTGAAAATTGTACTGTACACCGGATTTCTGCAACACGTTATTTTCCTGGCAAGTACTTGGAAAAGGAAGTATAATGCTCATGAGAACTTGCCTGTAAAAGGAAGATTCTTTTTTTGTCTGGTAACAGTTTGTGCTCTCAGTGGAGGCTATTAACACTGCAGAGACTTTTGCTCGAAGCCGTAATCAGGAGGGCTGTAAAATGTTCTTCTGTTCAAGATGGTCTTTGAAGTGACTAGTCCTAGCCATGGACTTGCAGTAGGGCATTCTGCAGTGGGCTGTTTCACAATTTATGAATTTTATTTTATTTTGCAGGTTCTGTGGAAAACAGACATTCTGTAAGTATGCATTTAATGTGAGCAACTAAAGATAGAAACTGTTCATCTAATGAAATAACATTTAAGTCTTGCCATGTTTCTCATTTTTTATTTGTTGCTCACAACCTTTATGGGTAGCAATTGGGCAGCCCCTTCATATATGCTCTTTCTAAACAGGGTTTCAGTGCATTTATAGTGTGGGATAGCATTAAAAGTCATGGAATTGACTGGTATTTGATGGCACTGGTATAGGAGGTAGGTGACAAATACAGATCTTTAGATAATTTGTATGGTAGAGAGCTGCACAGTTTAGGATGTTTCACTGCCAGCACGGCCCAGGGTTGGGCATGGCTGAAGCTGAATCATTCAAGACTCAGTTCTGAGAGCCTGTTAAGCTGGTTAACACTTAGCTGGGGGCAGAGAGCTGCCGTTCCCAGACTTCTCTCTGAAAAAATCAGTAGTGTGCTTCATGCTAACGAGTCTCCTCAATTGTTCATGTGTGAACAGCTTTATAGAGCTAAAAAAATTCATAGAAAATAATCTATTTATAGCACAAGAGAAAAAAAAAAGGCGAATGCCTTAAATGAGCTTTTCCTCTACACTCAAGAAATCTGAGAGGCAAGGAACATAAGTTTCTAGAGAACTTTCATAAAAGTTAGAGAAGTTACCTAGCCCAGCCTCAGACCAGGCAGGCAGTGTGTTTTCTTGCCATCGACTTTGGAACATGTACTTAAGAAAAGAGAGAGACTCATAAATAAGACTCACAATAGCACAGCCTACGTCAGTTTATGGCATCCATTTGAGTTTTGAAAAGCTCCATCAGCACTCACATCCCCATGGGATAAAAATGCAGCCCATTGTATTATTTACAGACATTGGCAGTGCACTGAAGGTCACATATTGTGTTACGATAAACAGACATACATTAACAGGCCAGTAGGGTTTATAATGTCATTGTCTCTCTTAGTTTAAAGGTTTGTTTTTATTCTTTGCTCTCAATTCTCTAAAACTAAGTCAAGCTAACTCTCCTCTGGTTATGCCTCCTTCTTAGTTATTGCTCATGTACTTAATGTAGTAATTGCTCCTTTATTATTATTATTAGTGCTTCCAAAGGCATGACGAAAACATTTCCCCTCTTCTGACTCTTGAATGCTTACTTCTATTCCCAATAAAATCTGTGACAAAAAGCAGCACCGTTCTTTGCTCTCTAGATAAGTGATTGTAGTGGAGTGGGATTGGACAGATAAATTTCTTCATAGATTTTTCCATCCTCCCATTTGCTTGTCAGCACCTTTTAGGCAATGCTGATGAGCACAGAAGAGGCAGAGAGTTATAAAGGTGGTTTCTATCATTGTGTTGCAGTTGTTTCCTTCTGTAACTCATTTTCTCTCAGTGCTTAACTCAGGTGTACAGCAGAGCTTTGGACCAAATGAGAGGGAGTTGTTGATCCTACTCATCAAAAGGAAAGAGCCCCTCTAAACTGATCAAGTGGCTTAAATTTCCTCCCCAGCTGTTCTGCTCCTTTACAACAAATGAAGTATTTGGCTCAGTGCTTTAGGAGTTGCTTTAGATCTGTGCTTTACATCTCTAATTTGTGAGTGGAAAGAGGCCCTCAGGCGCTGGGCTCATCGGTAATGGCATGAGATGCTGGTGGCTGCAGCAACCTCCCAGACAAGAGGCCTGTAGAATTTTTCTTCCTCAGAGGCAGGAGGATATGCAACTGTTTTACTTGGCATTAGCTCCTGCTGCCCTTTTCTCTCTCTAAATTAAAGTAAAAGTGTGGGTCCCACTCCTCAGATAATATTAACTTACTCCATTCTGCCTTGATCCTCCAGCTGTCACAGGCAAAACAGAGTACTGCACTACGGAAGAGAAAGATGAAGAAAATCATTTTAATGAGCACTAGCCCTGCTTCTGTCTATTTGCCTCTAAGTAGCTTCTGTCAGAATAAATATAATCCAGCATGGAAACTAAAGAACTCTGTTCCATCTCCACAGTGCGACCAAGATCAAATTGAGCTCAGGGCTTTTAATAAAGCCTGTGTGCTGGGGTTATTGTTGTGTTAACAATAATTGTTGTATTATACAGACCCACTGGAAGTGTTTGAATGTATTATGTTAAGAAGGGCGGTGGTGTGTTAGAAAAATATATTATCTGTTCAAGTATCTGTTTAAATTGTATAAAAGCCTAGTAGCAATATGGGGCCTAATTTGCAGTGCAGAATAACTTGAACCTGAATGCCAGGCATTTAGATTTCAGGACATTTAGAAATGAGCCCAAATCTTTGGTTTGGAGGTTCCTTCCCTCTTTCTCGTCTGTTTTAGGAATTTGTGTCTTAAATGCCATCCATAGGAAGTATTTGCAAAAGAAATGAATTGCTTAGAGAGGAACTGGGAGGAGGTTTCCTTCCTGAAATCAGAGCTGGCAATCTGTCTAAGCTATTTAATGGTCTCAGTTTCTGAAAACATATTGAAGGAAATATCTTAACAACGAGATAGCCACTTTGCCAAATACTGATTGGTATTGTGTTGCATTTACCTCAGCGGTACATTCTGACTTCATATCTCCTCCTCCCCTGCTACCTCTTAGATGTGTTTGTTTGTTTGTTTGATTTTGTTCTAGAGCATATGTGGCCAGGCAGTCTTGGTCAGGACACAGTGTACTTTTAGCTGCCTTTTTGTACCGCCTCAGAATGTACCCTCTGAGATAGAAACTTGTCCAATTTCAAACCATGTGCAGAAATGTCTCTTTTTTCAGGTACTCTCTCTCTGTCATCTTTACCAAGTTATCCCAAAAGCATTTTATAAATTCTCAGTGGTAAAATAATTGCTTCACTCTTTGCCAGCAAAATGCAGCCAGCTCTGAAGTGGGACCTGGCATCTGTTTAACTGTGCATAGAAACATGGCACAATAGCTTCAGAAGGGAAATGAAGATGAAGGATGTGTCCATTTAATATTGTGGCGGGATTTCAGGAAGTCAGGATATGAAAAACAAGGTGATCCTCTGAAATAAACACTGAATTATAAACCAGGAATTCCTGCCTCTGAGTCATGGGGCAAATCCTTGGGGGTAAGTACACAAAAGGAATTAGGCGCCTCGGTGCTGACAGATTAAACTATTAGGTTAGAGGCCGCCATGTACCCTTAGCAGACTTTTGAAGGAGGACGACTTGCTTTGGCAGACGAGGTCAGGAAAGACTTGACAGTTGCTAATCCTCAGTGGACAGAATTATTTCTGTCTTGTAATGTGAAGTCTGGGAATTTTCCTTAGCATCTCCTACCGATTAGCGTAGATTTCTCTGCCATCCGCACGTTGCCTTTTGTGGTTCTCAGTGCCAGGTTTCTGTTACCCGCTGTGTATTGAATAGAGGCTATAATCTAAGGAGTGGATTCGTGTAGAAACATGATGCCTGTCGGATGCTGCGTTGCTGACAGTTTGGATACCCCAGGTGCTTCTTGAGGAAAGGTTTTTCCTAGGTTGTAGAACTGAAGCTGGGAGCTTAATTGTGCATTTTGCATCAGTTGGTAAAGAAGGGGCCTTTCAGGTATTTTAGGTGCCAGCAGTTCTCACAAGAATCCACATTTCATCAGTAAGTGGCCAGTTACAAATGTTGATGTCTAACTGTGTTGCAGTCCAGTCTGGAATTGTTAATCCAAATCTCCCACTGTCTTGTGTCCTTTTTCATCCAATGAAGCTGTGAGTTTTTATTAGCTCATTGCACAGTGCTCTAAGGAATATGTTATTATATTTAAAGTTTTTATATTGAAGGCAGGAGAGGATAGAGGGACATTTATATTCATACTTATTCTTTTTTGGTCTTGTTGTCAACAGAGAATACAAGGGCCTCCTGATGCTACTTAGACAGCCATCTCAAACACTGACTGGCAGAAGAACAAATCAAGATGGAAGATGTTGCAGCTGTTTAAAAAGCTCTGTTTATGAGTATGCCAGGCTCTTCTTTTCAAAGTTTATTTCCTCAGGGGGGTCAATGGAAATGTTCCTAATGCATTTAATGGAAAAAAAATAAAAAATAAATAAAAAATTCTCTTAGGAAAGTGGCTCTGGAAACCACTGACCTAGCTTCCCATCTTTAATTTCTCCTGCTAATGCAATTTTGTCTTTTTAGCCTCCAGTTGATCATGCTCTGAGGAAATAGAAGGGGAATCTACAGCTAAAGAAATACATATCTACAGTGCAGTAACTACTGTGATGCTAGATATTGAGGCTTGCTTTAAACTAGTTAATTTGGTTATTAATAGCACACTGCTGTGGCGGAAGAGAGCTCAGCCCAGCCTGGCCAGCCATGTGCTTTGACTCGATTTTGCAGCTTGTGCTGAGCTCCCTGTGCTGCAGCAGCTGGACTGCTACAAGTTTTGGAGCCAGCTAATTTATAGCTAGCTTGGATGTTACACTGCAGCAATGGGTCTAATGGAAGAGCAAGCTCTGGGATCTCTAAAAACTTGAACAACTGTTCAAAGATTCAGTACTTTACCAAATGCTTCTATCAGTAGAGGTACAAATATCCTTGTTCTTTGCTGAATTGTTTTCCCCCTCTAAAAATTCTAGTGCTTTTTCGTTTTCTTTTTTGTTGGTTGGTTGGTTGGTTTGTGATGCTTCTTCGAGGAATAACTGCCCATCACATTTATTTTGGATAATGCGAAATACAGATATTTGGTGAGTAGATATATGATACCCAGGTCAATGAGTTTGTGCCTGAAAATCCTGTTATGTACCCATATTAATTTGATATTTAGGAGAGATCCAAAGTTGTACTTGCATCTAGTTTGGAGCTTAATTTCTATCCTGTTTCTCTTTATCACGATAAAACACTATCATGGCTTTTGAAGATCACATTCAATCCAACAGTGCTGGGATGCTATTTCAAGTTAGGGGTTCAGTAAAACTGGGTATAAATTTCAGGCTAGAGAGGATCCACTTCTAAACCTGGATCTAATTATGTTCATCTCAGCCGCATTGGTTTTCATAAAATAGAAAACCAAAAAGTACTGTCCCCAACCCTTCAACCAATTGGTCTTTGACCAATTTATCTCCTTTTCTTACTGCAGATTAAATTACTACAAGATCTGGGTCACAAGTAAGAAGGTTCTCATTTTAATTAGCAATTAATGAAAGAGAGGATATGGATTTGTATATACATATATAGTTATTGCTTTGTGCATTGCATCAAAGGCACAAAAAGAACAAGAAATACAAAAGGGTTTTCTATCCTCATTCCAAACACATTTAGTTTTTCCAGTTACTGGCTAATCTCTTTAATTTATTGTTCCCTATGAAAATGTTGTTTGTATTGTAAATCTTTCATAAGTTACTTCACAGTGCTCTTCTGTTGGCAAATGTTCATTCTAGCATCCCATCAGTGTCCATACAAATGTGTTACCATAAGGAATGTGAAAAGGTATTTTAATAAATAAATCTTTGAATTGAACTTTGCACTGGATCTTGCACATTCATATTGGTGACCATGCACAAGTGAGTGCCTGAAAGGTTTATTCTTAGTGATGAACCATATAGATAAATTCTGTGATATGTTGAATAAATTTACATATGAAAGATGTTATTTCTGTAATAAGTGATTCCAGGTACCTAGCTATGTTGTCAGGAACCAGGTAAACACACTAAGTTTGCTTGAGGATGGGTTCATATAAGTTCTGTGTGAAATTACTTAAAATGAAAAGCTCTCCTGTAGTCCCTGGCACAGCTCTGAAAACCTCCAGTCTCAGCTAGGTTTCAAAATGCCCCCTGAGGAACGTGGTGTAGTGATGTGGTCATCCATTAATCTAATTCAGCTTTAACCTCTAAGCTTATTTTTGCCCTCTTAAAACACATTGAATTTGTCCACTTCTTGAAATGTTGTGCACTGCCTTGAGCACTTCTGTTTTAACTTACAAATATGCCAAAATATTTTAAATTACAGGGCATTAGCTCAGCAGACCTCTGCAGAAGACAAGTTTACTGTGGCTATAACAAACAGCTACACAATAAATCCAATGTCTTGTTATAGATATGTCTTCTGCATGGCAAACACACATCATAGCCCATTGAAAACACTTGAGAAATAAGTTTTGAATTTGCTTCTGAACCAGAGTAAAACTGAGATTAGAGGCCAAGCAATACAGTATTGAGAGAGGAAAAAAGAAACAAAAAATCAATTTTCTACCTTGTTAGCAAGCTGAACTCAGTGAACATAAAGTGAAGTGTGTTGCTAAGCATTTGCTTTTTTGGAAGACAAATAAAAGGGTGTCCTAAAAGAGTCCAGCGTGGTGCCAGACCTGGATTTACCCCAGGTGGCCTGGAGAGGTGACCCCTTGAGGGCTTTGGTCTTCCCATTGCACCCAGTGGTAGCACCTGGGGCGCACAACGCAGTGCAGCTGCCGGCTGCCCGTTTCCACCCAGGCTGTGGCTGTGTGGTGGGATTCATTCCGTTCTGCACAAGAACAAACTGCCCCGTTTGTGCAATACTGAGTTTCATGAGAGACCGCAGGAAAGAGCAGTTTGCAGAACTGGGCCTACGAGTGTCATCCTTCCTGTCAGCCACAGCCGGAGGCTCTGTGTCTCGGGGGAAAAGGGCGCCTTTCCCTGCAATTCTAGCTCTGTTTTAAGAGCATTTGTTCTGGTTCATGAAGAGCTAGGGAAGCAAGGAGAGTTGCTTTTCACTTTAAAATGTTATCACTGGAGTGTTAACTCTGAGGAGTTTGAAGCGACGGTGTTACTTTTCTACAAGGGTACTTCTAGCTGTTGGTAATGTTTTCCGGTTATCACAGCCTGCAAGGAATCTGAATTTTGGGGTAAGGAGACATTAAAGTTTGTTTGTTCTTAACTTTTGCGGTTGAGGCTAGTGTTTTTCAAAGAAATTCGCGTGGATTTTCACAACATTTGTGTTCAAGTGTCACCAGTGGGAATCGCCATGACCGGGGGCGCCTCGGGACAGGGGGCCGCGCCCGCCGCGCTCGGCCCTGG